AAAATCATGAGGAAAAGGCTATATGCAAAAAGTAAATGGGTGAGAATTTTCCAGAACTGGTAAAATAGATGTATTCTCAGTACAGAAGGTGAAACAAATCTCAAGCAAGACAAATAAAATGAAGCGCTCACCTACCTTTACCGTCATGAAACTACCAAGCACCAAAGACAAGAATACATTTGAAAGGTAGAGAAAAAGGACAGATTACCTACTAAGGCATCATAACTAGATTAACAAGAGACTTTTCAACAACAAAAATGGAAGCCAGAACACAATCTAATGTATAATATAGGCTGAGAAAAAGTAACTATTAATGAAAAACAGTGATGATTTGGACAAGATAAATAACAAGTAGCTCAACAGATCAATAAGAATAAACATTTTAGTAAATTGTGTTGGATCGACTAGTTATCCTTATTTTTTAAAAAAGAGCTTGTTGCCTCACATTATACACCAAAACAAAGTAAGTCTCAGGTAGATTAAAGTGACTAATTGAAAAAAAATGACACTGGAGAACTTTTAGAAGGAAATATAATAGAATGTGTTCATGATTGGGGCGCCTGGGTGGCTCAGTTGGTTAAGCGACTGCCTTCGGCTCAGGTCATGATCCTGGAGTCCCGGGATCGAGTCCCGCATCGGGCTCCCTGCTCAGCAGGGAGTCTGCTTCTCCCTCTGACCCTCCCCCCTCTCATGCGCTCTCTCTCTCACACTCTCTCTCTCAAATAAAAAAATAAAATCTTAAAAAAAAAAATGTGTTCATGATATTGAATCAATGATGGACTTCTAATATACAAAATTTCAGAAAAAGATTGGTATATTTTTCTATAGAAAAATTAAGACTGTGTTTCTCAAGCATCAAAAGTTTGAAAGACAAGCCCCAGATTGTAACACATATAACCAACAAAATATTATTAGCCAGGTGTATAAACTATATGGATTAAAAGCTACATGTATGAACACACATGATGCTCCACATACCTAATGAGTAGAATAAGCAAACCGGTGAAGTACATACATTTGACACCATGTATATAGATTTTTAAAGTCCTATAAAGTGAAGCTGTATGCATTTTAGGGATACATACTACTGAAATGATTTTCATTGCTCATGACAGCAATAAACAACCACTTCAGCCTGGTAGCAATGTGTGCAGGAAACAGCTAGAATGTGATCTGAGAGCTGCAGACACAGGTCTGTGGATGTATCAGGAATGCTTCATAGCTCAACCCACAGGGAGTCTTAAAAAACACTTACTGTTCAGGTTTTATATTTTGTATATACTGTGACTATTGCACAAAGTATTTTTTATGAAATGTACAACTCGTACTATGGAGGTAAAACAGATCAACAAAAACAGTGATCAAAATAATGAAATTTAAGAAAACGGGGAAACAGAAAGCATGTTTAAACACTTCAAATAAAATGACAAACAATACCAAATACGTCACTGATTGCAATGAAGATAAAGATTCTCAAATTTGATTTTTCAACCCTATTGTAAAAGACACACTTAAATCATAATGAAATGAAGATCGAAAACAAAGTAATGGGGGGGCCTGGGTCACCCAGTCGGTGAAGCGTCTGCCTTCAGCTCAGGTCATGATTCCAGGGTCCTGGGATCGAGCCCCATGTCAGGCTCCCTGCTCAGTGGGGAGTTTGCTTCTCCCTCTCCCTTTGCCCCTCCCCCTCCCCCACTCATTCTCTCAAATAAATAAAATCTTTATTAAAGAAAGAGTAATGGAAAAGGTATACAAGAAAACCATTAGCTGTACGTGTACATATGTGTTATATGTACATACTCATCTGTATATGGGTTGGCAATAGTAATAGGAGGCAAAAGGAGTTGTAAGCTAAAAACATTGAAGGGACAAAGGAAGGGCATTTTGTGTTGGTAATTGTAACTATCCAGTAAGAAAGTACACAATTATGAGCATTTATGCAATTAACAACATGGCCTCAAAATACTTAAATCAAAAACTGACAGAATTATAGGAAATTGTCAAATCCACAATCATGGTAAAAAAAAATTTTTTTGGATGATTTGACATTTACTGTCTAATTTTATTGAGAAATAATGACATCCAACACTGAATAAATTTAAGGCATACAGCATGATGGTTTGATTTACGTCTATTGTGAAATGATTACTACACTAGGTTCAGTTAACATCCATCTTTTCATATAGATACAATAACAATAAAAGGAAAAAGAAAAAAATTGCTTTTTTTCATGAAGTTTTATTCTCATGGTTTTCCTTCTTTTACCATTTCAACAGATTTGTTTTCTGTTGTCTTTCAGATTTTAATTGTGTTTTCCCAATTTATAAAAAAGGGGTTTTTTTTAAGTCAGAAAAAACAAAGCATAAAAGAACCAAAAATATTTTAAACAAAAAGCCATAAAAATTATAACCATCCTCATCAGTTCATTTGGTTCTGTGTAATTAATTGTTGTTGATCTTGATCTTTTGGTATCGGTTTTATGAATTTGTAAGTTTTTTGATCAAAGTTCTGTAAATTCTTAGTCAATTTAGTATCAGAGTCCTGTCCTCAGTAGTCTTTTCTGCAGCTCTCCTGGAACATGAAGCATTAGAGGAAAACAACTGTCTCTAAGTGACAAAAGACTTAAAAACAGCTCTGGTTAAAGATCTGATGAGAGTTCATTATAATGCAATTGACAAGGAGATTTGATTATTTTTGTGATATCTTAATTTAAAAAATAACTAAAATGATTGATAACATTATACTAAGGCACCAGATTTGTAGAAATTTCATGCAATTTTTAGAATATTACATTAATAATATACGTCTTTTTATATATAACCTAAAGAAAATTTAGTATCACTTTGAGAATGCTTTCTGTGTAATTTAATATTTCAAATAAGCCTAATTAGTTGAAAAATCTCTCTTTTATAGGGAGAGATAGCAAATCTTTTGAAATGGTCCAGGGACCCTCTTGAAAATCTCAAAGTTATTTCAAAGTCAAAAAGACTTCATTTAGAATTTGATTTGGGGGAAGTTTATCAGAAATTTCACAAAGTTTTAAAATAATTGATCAAAGAGGATCATATCATTGTGAAACAATAGTTATTAATTTAACCAAAGTGACAAAGACTTGAGGCAAATAAAAGAAGTTACATAGTTGTTAAAAAAACTTAGCTCTTATACTACAGAAGACTCAGTTTTCTTAAGTAATCAAAGACCTGATAAAGACAACATGAATCCCCATAGATTATTTTGGTAAAACACCAATCATTGTTTTCTAGGCAGATTACTTAAAAGGTAAAGAAAAACCTCATATAAAAAAGAAAAGAAAAAAGAAAAACCTCAAAAAGTCCTATCAAGAACAAATCAATAGTCCCAGAAAACTTTGTCTTTTTAGCAGATGAAAGAAAATTAAATTTTAGTTTCACATAAGCTCATTCTTGATATTAAAGCTTATTTTTCTTTAAGCCAATTAAATAGAGATCTTTTATAAATTAATTTTGACAATATTGTCTAGATACAGAAAAATGTTACCCATACATGGCGTATGTCCATTCAGATACATAAACATACAGACAGACACAAGGAGAGCCCCTATAGCTCCAAGAGTAACATTTATCCATGAATCCGGTACAATAACATAAAACTCACTAGTTTATAAATAACTGTTGAGTCCCAGTTGTGTCTGTGGCATATGGCACAAGGGGCTGGAGGGATAGAGGGGTGGCAGGTACAAACGCCACCTGGTCACAGGGGTCTTCTCACAACTACGAAAATTTCCTATAAACGAAACTTAAAATTCTTAAGAAAATGTTTAACCTTACAGATAATGAAAAGAGCATTTATTTGAAAATGGCATAAAATTTTCATCTAATAAGCAGAGATTTTTGAATGGGGAAAACACATCAATAGCTAGAATGTATTAACATGTAAACTCTCACAGAAGCTATTCAAGGTATAAATTGATTCAGCCTTTCTTGGAGAGCCATCTGGCAATATATGTCAAGAACATCCATGTATTTGCCGTAGAATCTCTTATTCTAGGAACTCATTATAAAGAAATAATCACAGAAGTGTACAGATTTATGCACAAGGAGGTTTATTTTATAGCAGCGTTATTTATTATAAAAACAGCAAGAACCTGAATTCCATCAATAGGAGAACGACTTCAGAAACCTTAGCGCAGCCATGTCACGTTTCAGTGAGAGACACGAAGACACACTTAAAAAACAGGATGAGAAGCCAACTCTTCTTCACTTTTGATTTGGGTGTAAATTTTAAAATACTGTATTTAAATATTACATATTTATATAAAGGACCATAGTGAAATGCATCAACATTTAATCATTTGTTAACCTATGTGTGGTAGAATTATAGAATGCTAGGTTCTACAAGAAGCCTATATTATTTTAATATAAAGAAAACAAACATTATAAAAGAGAAAATAAGCTAAAAGGAAGAATGAGTAATCGCTCACTCTCTCTGTTCCTCTGCGGCGTGCACGACCTGGACAGAACAGGTGGGTGATGGGGGAGGAGGAACATGGGTACAACCTGCCTAGAGTGCACCTGTTTGATGTTTGTTTTAGTAAATTCATTATTTGAAATTACATAGCTTTCTTTTCTAATCCTTCACTTCATTAGGACCCATTTACTATTTAGTTTAATGTACACTACTTTTGGAGGTAGTTACCTGAATGTCCTAAAGTTTTCATGTTGGAACGATCCAACTTACAAAAAAGTTGCTAGAAGAGAATGAAGAAAAAAGTATGTCGATTTATGCTTCAAATAGATTAGAATCACTTCAGACAATTTCAGGTACATTCTCTGCTCCTCTTCTCTTAGAAGGGTAACTCCCACTTTGGTCTGATAAGGTACCTACGTGATAATGCATGAAAGAAAGATGTTCTGTGACAATTCACAAACGAAACAATGTTGAAGGTTAAACCTCACTAAGTTACCAGGTAAATTTGGGGTCTGTTATTCACTGTGAAAAAAAAAAAAACTCTTTCCTTTTAGGTGAAGATTTGAAGGACATTTCAACTGAGGAGAAAAGTTCTTCACATTCAAAAGTTTCTGTCAAATTCAAGAGTATAAAAAAGAGGTCAGTTACCTTCATTCAACAGACAGCTGTTTAAGTACCTACTAAGTGGCAGACCCCCAAGCAAGCTCAGGATTACCTGTCAATAAACCAGGGCCTTTGTGACTTATAATATCAGAATTCACTTAAATTTATCTTACTGCAGCTTCAATAGAGCCCTTGTGTATCTAATGCAAGTTCACCAGATTTTGATGCTAAGTAAATTGGATAATATGAATACATCTGTGCAGACTCTGTACATATTTGAGAAAGGAATAAAACTGGCATGAATTTATTTCATGAATCTGCCATTTATGACCTGAGAAATGTTGAGCCAGTTACTAAATATTTTTAAGCTTTGATTTTCTCATTTAGAAAACTGGAATAATAATGTGATGTGCTACATGTCTAGAATAGGGCCTGGTACATAGTGAGTGCTCAATAAATTACAGAAATTATTAGCTGTGCACGTCTGCCATTTTGCAAAATGGACAGGAGAGCCACTGTTGAGGCCTTCCTGCATCCCATTACGAGGCCCTGACATATTCGTGTCACATTTTCTTTTAAATGACAGAACATTTGGGGACACCTGGGTGGCTCAGTTGGTTAAGCGTCTGCCTTCGGCTCAGGTCATGATCTCAGGGTCCTGGGATCAAGCCCCACATTGGGCTCCCTGCTCAGAGGGAAGCCTACTTCTCCCTCTCCCACTCCCCCTGCTTGTGTTCCCTCTCTCGCTGTCTCTCTCTCTCTCTCTGTCAAATAAATAAAATCTTTGAAAAAAAAATAAATGACAGAACATTTAAATGCGGTTTTTACTCTGTCAAGTCCCCCTTCAATTCCCCCTCTTGTCCGCATCCTACCCAAACCTTCACTGTTTTCCTACCTGTCCTGTTGCAAGAGCCTCCCAGTTGGTTTTCCCAGTTCTTCTAGTCCATTCTCAACATGACAGCTATACATTATTGTAAGTTTTTGTTAAATGGTGAGTAGCCATAAAAGAATATTTGTAAAGTATGTGCAAGACACAAACGATATACAAACCCCCTGTGCGCAGCACGCAGCTCTGAAAACACTTGTGGCTGATCTTTGAGGTCCCCCGCATATCTGTCCAGATCTTCTGCCACCAGCCTGGATTTTGTATTTATCAGTACATTTCCAAACAATGTTATTTTCGCCTTTACATGTTTTCAAACTTTAATGCCATCACTGTGTTCTTGGGTGACTTACATTTTTTTGTTCAGTGTTCTATGACTAATTCATTGTGCATGTAGGGACTCTTCACTGCTGTCTACTAGTCCATTGTATAAACCTGTTGATGGACATATATGTTGTTTTCAGTTTTTGTTATGACAAAATCTACTGCGATTAATATGCCTGTACTTGCGTCCTGGTATTTATATGAGACGTTCAATTTTTCTAAGGTTTTTTAAAATTTATTTGAGAGGGAGAGAGAGAGAGCATGAGCAGGGGGGAGAGGCAGAGGAAGAAGCAGACTCCTCACTGAGCAGGGACCCCAATGCGGGACTCGATCCCAGGACCCTGAGATCATAACCTGAGCTGAAGGCAGAGGGGGCTTCACCGACTGAGCCACCCAGGCGCCCCTCAGATGTTTGGTTTTTAAAGAAACATACACTACAATAAATAACAAATTAGAATGTTTCTTTTTTATCAGCATTTCATGCCTTCCCATTACGGTCAGAATGGAAGGACAGAAGCCTTGTAGAGCGTGAAAGCCGACCTCTGCACCGACCAGCTTCTTGTCTCAGTTCCTCAAACCAGCCTTGATCCTTTGACCTCCAGGTCGTGGCACATGTGTTCCTTGCGCTGGAAATGTTAATCCTCCTACATTTTGCCAAATCTCACTCAGTCTTCACGTCCCCGATCACCTGTCACTTCTCCCCGGAGGCCATCCCTGCATCCCACAGGCTGACGCAGTCCCCTCTACCACGGCTGCGCCCAGCACGTGTGACTGCCTTCCTTGCTCACATCGCGGCTTATCACCCATGTTCTTGTGGAGAGAAGGGGTCACGTTTGCTTTGTGCTGGGGAGCTGATACATAGTAGGAATTCAGTAAATATTTGCTGAATGAATTATCACACGTGACTAGAAATTTTAAAATAGAACGGTACATGTGCATTGGACATTCATGATTGCCAATAAATCCTGAACTATTTTAAATGCCTTGAAATCAAGCCCAAATCTCTCTCAGTCCATCAGCATCAAAGCTGTCACTAGAGAACCTAAGGGTCCACAAACCAGGGTGACCTTGCCTGCCCAGACTGGACGAGACTCTCCCCAGACTCACAGGGCCTGGCGTTAGCCAGGTAGAACTAGATCAGCCTCTAGAACTTGGTTGAGAGGAATACAGAGTGAGGGACTATTCACTTATGTTTTCGTACATAGAGACCAGATCCTCTCCCAAAAGATAGGTAAACTCTCAACTAATAAACTGACCTAATAAATAAAAGTGAATCATTTGTACTAAATAAATGAAATAAAGGTTGACCACAAATCTCTTACACAAATGGTACCTTAAAAATAGCAGTGTATAATTTACATGACTTATCAATGAAAATTGTACATTAACCTTAAAACATTTATGTCAACACCTAACTGTATTATAATTTTTAATAATGAAACTTTGACATGATATTGAAATCACTGAACTTCCTTCTAAAAATTTTAACTCTCACCCTTCCACATGTGTCTGCCCCAGAGCTGAAAATACATGGTATCTGGAGAAGAATCCTGATAAATTAAAAATTGTGCTTCAAAAGCTCTTCGTGTTCGCATTTACTTGGGCGTTTGGAGGAACTTTAAAGCGTGAGGATGAGCATGAAGATGACACAGTACTGTATTCGAGCCACGAGCCTGGTACTCCTGCCAGAGTGACCTACGATTTTGACAACCTTGTGCATGAATTATTTGAAAGCAATCCACATATAGGTAAGTTCTGAGGGAAGCAGTCATAATCATGCTTACTTTAGAATATTAGTTTGGGGGCATCTGGGTGGCTCAGTCGGCCGCTCAGTCCGACTCTTGATCTCAGCTCAGGTCTTGTCTCAGGGTCATGAGTTCAAGCCCCATGTTGGGCCCCTTGCTGTGGGTGGAGCCTACTTAAAAAAAAATACAGATACAGAGCCAATATAAATCTCTGGATAAAATTAAAATTAAAAATTAAAAAGAGAGAGACACCTGGGTGGGCTCAGTCAGTTAAGGGTCTGACTCTTGATTTTGGGTCAGATCATGATCTCAGGGTTGTGAGATGGATTCTCTCTCTCCCTCTGCCCTCCCCCTCTTAAAAAATTAGTTTGAAACTCTTTATGGTTGGGCTCAAATTAAAAGGCTGATCTTTTAAAATGTGAGATTAAAGGTAAAAGCACATTCCAGTACTCTTACTCCAGCAAAAGGAGACTGAAGTATATTTCATTCCTGGTTGATTCTTGTTTCTAAGGAAGCTTTAACACAAGTAAGACAGAAGAACAAAGATAAAGCCTTGAAACTATGTCCTCAGCCCAGTTGAGCCCACCAGCCGTATAGCTGGATCTGTATTACACATATCATGCACCAGGAACTTCTGTAGATTGTAGCTTCATTTACTTTTTAAAGACTAATATTGTAAAAATTATTTTATGAAGCCTTAGATTTCTTTATTATGTGTGTTTTTTGAGTCAGTTCTAACAAATGTAATCTATTCTAATATTCTGAAATGGTAAGCCTTCCCAATTAGCTGTTACTGATTAAAGGAACTTGGAACAGATGAAGTGATCCTTGGTGCAGGGACCAAAAAGACACAAAATAGTGAACATGAATATATTTAGAAGAACTTTGTTAAATAAAGATGAGAGCTAAAAATATTTACCAAAAGTACAGATTTGACCAGTTTGTGTGATGTTAACTCTTAAAGTATCCTTTTGAAATTATTTGTAGAAGTTCTATTTAAGATATCTTTGATCACAAAGTCTTATGTTATTTCCTATGGAAATTAACTTTTTTGTTGTTGTTATGTTAGTCACCATACAGTACTTCATTAGTTATTGATACAGTGAATCATGGGAAATTAACTTTTTAAAAAGTATTTATTTATTTGAGAGAGAGCAGCACAAGCAGGGAGAGTGGCAGGCAGAGGGAGAGGGAGAAGCAGACTCCCCACCAAGCAGGGAGCCCAATACAAGGCTCGATCCCAGGACCCTGAGATCATGACCTGAGCCAAAGGCAGATGTTTAACTGACTGAGCCACCCAGGTATCCCAGAAATTAACTTTTAATATCAAAGCATTGCATGTTAATTTGTTGTTGAACTTAGTGATTCAACTGGATATTGCTAACTCCTAAGATAAACAAACTGCCTGATTTCTTTGTCAAGCAGAAATACCTCAAATTCCATTGTTTCTTCTCCCTGTGAACCTAAAGACAAGACAATAAATTATACATCGTGTTAGATTGTTTATCTTAAAACGATGAATATGAAGTTTTGTTCTGTCATCTGAAGTACCAATAGAAAAGCTAGTTTGAGACAGGGGTGTAGGAATGAAAGGAGAGTCAGGTGGTCACAATCGTAAAGAGTACAAAACCATCAGAATGGAAATGAGAAGAGAAAGAAAGGGAGTCCAGAAACCTCCCACTTGTAGTCATCCTAGTCATCCTATGAACAAAACTGTAAAACACAAAACAATTAATACTAAGAAAGCCTACCAATAAAATCACATATCATTAAATTAATTCATTCTAGATGAAATTATTATAGCCTAACAGAGACTCTAATATAAATGTATTTAGGGTTCTTTTTTGAAAGATAGATAAAGATTTTTTAAATAAATAAGCATATATGAAGCAAAAAAAATATTGGAAATGAAAATAGAACATATGGCTATGAAAAAGGACCAGATAGAAATTCTGTAGTCATTCAAGTGAAAGAGTCAGTAGACCAGATGAACTCTACCCTTGGGACCATCAAAGAAAGAATTAGTAAACTGAGGGGTGCCTGGGTGGCTCAGTCGGTTAAGCATCTGCCTTCGGCTCAGATCATGATCCCAGGGTCCTGGGATCGAGTCCTGCATTGGCTCCCTGCTTAGTGAGGAGTCTGCTTCTCCCCTCCCTCTGCCTGCTGCTCCCCCTGCTTGTTCTCTCTCTCTCTCTCTCTCAAATAAAATCTTTAAAAAAAAAAAAATGAAGGCAAGATAAAGACTTTCCCAAATGAACAAAAGCTGAGGGAGCTCATCACCACTAGACCTGCCCTACAAGAAATGCTAAAAGTAGTTCTTCAAACTGAAGTGAAAATGTTAATTAGAAGCAGGAAAACATATGAAATTATAAAACACATTGGTAAAAGTAAGTATATAGTCAAACTCAAATGCTCTAATACTGTAATATGGTGGTGTATGAATCACTTAACTCTAGTATAAAAATTAAAACCCAAAAACATTAAAAATTACTATAGCCACTTAGATGTGTAATGGATTCACAGTATAAAGAGAGAGAAATTGTGACATGGAAACCATACAGTGTGAGTGGAGGGTAAAAGCATTTTTGCATGTGATTGATACTCACTTGAAAAGATGAGTATCAGCGTAAAAGATGTTTTATGTAAGTTTCATGGTAACCACAAACCAAAAACCAACAGTAGATACACAAAAGATAAAGAAAAGGAAATTAAAGCATACCACTAGGAAAAATCATCAGTTCACAAAGGAAGAGAGGAAGAAGGAACAAGGGAACCACAAAACAGCCAGAAAACAATCAGATGACATTAGTCTTTTTGCTTCTCAAAATTACTTTAAAAGTAAATGGATTAAATTCTGCAATCAAAAGATATAGAGTATATAAATGGATTTTTAAAACTAGAGCTGCCTACAAGAGATTCACTTCTGATTCAAGGACACACAGAAGCTCACATCGCAGGGACAGAAAAGGATATCCCAGGCAAACGGGAAACTGGAAGAGTGGCATAGCCGAGCTGTACTTATATTGCACAATATAGCCTTTAAGTCAAAAAGCATAATAACAGACAAGGTCGTTAAGTGATAATAAAGGAGTCAATTCATCAAGAGGATATAACAACTCTAAGTGTATATGTACCCAACAGCAGAGTACCTAAACTTAGTAAGCAAATACTAACAGATGTGAAGAAACAGAGACCAGTCCATTAATAGGGGAATTTAATACCCCACTTTAAACAATGGATAGATTGTTCAGAGAGAAAAATCGATTAGGAAATATTGGAACTGAGCCATACTTTGGAGAAAATGGGCCTACCAGATATATAGAGAGAATTCAATCCAACAGCAGCAGACGACACATTCTTCTCAAGCACAAATGGAATATTCTCCAGCATAGATCATATGTTAGGTCACAAAAGAAGTCTTAACAAATTAACAAGATTGAAAATTATACCAAGTATCTTTTCTGACCATAGTGGAATGAAGCTAGAAATCAATACCTTGATGAAAACTAGAAAATTAAAAATATGTAGAAATTAAATGACACACTTCTGAAATATCAATAAAAAATTTTTTAAACCTTAAGAGAAACAAAAATGGAAACAGCATACAGCAACTTATGGGTTTCAATAAAAATTTCTTAGCAGGAATTTTATAGCAATAAATGCCTACATAATGATAAAAGATCTCAAATAATCTGACTTCACACTTCAAAGAAAAAGGAAAAGAAGAATAAACTAGGCCTAAAGTTAGCATGAGGAAAGAAATAGCAAAGATCAGAGTAGAAATGAATTAAAAGAGACCAGAAAAACAATAGAAAAGATCAATGAAACAAAGGGCAGGTTTTTTTGAAAAGATAAACAAAATTGACAAACCTTTACCTAGATTAAGGAAAAAATAAGAGAAGACTCTAATAAAGTAAGAAATCAAAGAGACATTGCAATAGACACCATAGAAATACAAAAGATCATAACACAGTACTATGCACAATTTTACAACAACAAATTAGATAGCCCACAATAAGTGGGGACATTCCTAGAAGCATACAACCTGCCAAGGGTGAATCATGAAGAAACAGAAAATCTGAACAGACCTAAACAAGTAATGGGATTGAATAAGTAATCAAAAAAACTTCCCATCAAACACAAGTCCAGGACCAGACAGATGGCTTCACTGGTGAATTCTATCAAACATTGAAGAAGAATTAACACCAGTCCTTCTTAAAATCTTCCAAAAAAATTTGAAGACAAAGGAAAACTTCCAAAGTCACTTTACAAGGCAGCATTACCCTAATGCCAAAACCAGATAATGACACCACAAAAAACAAAACAAAACAAAACTCTACAAGCCAATATTCCTAATGAATACAGATACAAAAATCTTCCCCAAAAATGAGCAAACTAAACTCAACAGCACATTAAAAGAATTACAAACTATGATCATGCAGGATTTGGGATGCAAAGATGGTTAGGTTTATGCAAACCAATAAATATGATGCATCACATTAAAAAAAAGGAAAGATTAACAACATATTATTTCAAGAGATGCAGAAAAGGCATTTGACAAAATCCAACATCATCTCATGATAAAAATGCCAAACAAATGTGATATAGAATTACCATATCTCAACATCAAAAAGGCCATATATAACAAGCTCACAGCTAACATCATACTCAATGGTTAAAGAGTGAAAGCTTTTCCTCTAAGATCAGGCATAGGATAAAGGTTCTCACTACTCCTATTCAACATAATACTGAAAGTTCTAGCCAGAAAAATTAGGCAACAAAAATAAATAACTGTGAAGTAGGTCAACATAATAAATCCTTCTATGAAAAACTCACAGCCAACATCATACTTAATAGTGAAAAAACTGAGAGTTTTCCCCTAAAGTCAGTAACAAGACAAGGACGTCTACTCTCACCACTCTTATCCAACATCGTACTGGAAGTCCCAGCCATAGCAATCAGACAATAAAAAGAAATAAAAGGCATCCAGATTGGTAAGGAAGAAATAAAACTCTCACTATTTGCAGATGACATGATACTAAATATAGAAAACTATAAAGACTCCACTGAAAAACTACTAGAACTGATAAGTGAATTCAGTAAAGTCACAGGATACAAAATCAATGTACAGAAATCTGTTGCATTCCTATACAGTAATAATGAAGCAGCAGAAAATGAAGTTAAGAAGACAATCCCATTTAAAATTGCACCAAAACCAATAAAATATCTAGGAATAAACCTAACTGAAGAGGTAAAAGACTTGTACTCTGAAAACTCTAAAACACCGATGAAAGAAACTGAAGATAACATAAAGAAATGCAAAGACATTCCATGCTCATGGGTTGGAAGAACAGATATTGTTCAGGTGTCTCTACTATCTAAAGCAATCTACAGATTTAATGCAATCCCTATCAAAATATCAATGGCATTTTTCACAGGGCTAGAAAAAAGTCCTAAAATTTGTATGGAACTGCAAAAGACCTCAAATAGCCAAAGCAGTCTTGAAAAGAAAAACAAAACGGGAAGCATCACAATACCTTACTTCAGGTTATATTACAAAGCTGTAGTAAACAAAACAGTATGGTACTGTCATAAAAATAGACACATAGATTAAAAAAAAAAAATAGACACATAGATCAATAGAACAGAATAGAGAGCCCAGAAATAAACCCACAGTTAGGGGTACCTGGGTGGCTCGGTTCGGTGTCTGCCTACAGCTTGGGTCATGATCTCAGGGTCCTGGGATCAAGCCTCAAGTAGGGCTCCCTGCTCAGTGGGGAGCCTGCTTCTCCTTCTCTCTCTTCCCCTCCCCCCAACTCTCTCTCTCTCAAATAAGTAAAATCTCTAAAAAAAAATAATAAACCCACAATTATATGGTCAATACATCTTCAACACAGCAGGAAAGAAAATGCAATGGGAAAAAGAGAGTCTCTTCAACAAATCGTGCTGGGAAAACTGGACAGCCACATGCAGAAGAATGAAACTGGACCACTTTCTTATACCATACACAATAATAAACTCAAAATGAATTAAGGACCTAAATGTGAGACCTGAAACCATAAAAATCCTAGAGGAGAACACAGACAGTAACCTCTTAGACATGGGCGTAGCAGTATTTTTCTAGATGTGTCTCCTGAGACAAGAAAAATAAAAGCAATAAACTAATCAAAATAAAAAGCTGCACAGCAAAGGAAACAGCAAAACTAAAAGGCAATTTATGGAATGGGAGAAGATACTTGCAAATAACATATATGATAAAGGGTATGCCTCCAAAATATATAAAGAACTGATACAACTCAAACCCAAAAAACAAATAATCCAATTAAAAAATGGGCAGAAGACATGAACAGACACTTCTCCCAAGAAGACATACAGATGACCAACAGACTTCACTCATCATCAGGGAAATGAAAATCAAAACCACAATGAGATATCGCCTCACACCAGTCAGAATGGCTAAAATCAAAAACACGAGAAACAACAAGTGTCAGCTGGGATGTGGAGAAGAGGAACTCTTGTACATCATTGGTGGAAATGCAAACTGGTGCAGCCACTGTGGAAGACAGTACTGAGGTTCCTCAAAAAAATAAAAATGGCACTACCCTATGATCCAGTAATCACACTAGTGGGTATTTACCCCCAAAATACAAAAACATTAATTCAAAGGGATATATGCACCCCAGTGGTTATTACAGCATTATTTACAATAGCCAAAATATGGAAGCAGCCCAAGTGTTTATCAACTGATAAATGGATAAAGAAGATGTGGTATATACATACAATGGACTATTACATAGCCATAAAAAAGAATGAAATCTTGCCATTTGCAACAACATGGATGGACCTAGAGCATATTATGCTAAGTGAAATAAGTCAGTCTTGAGAAAGACAAATACCATATGATTTCACTCATATGTGGAATTTAAGAAACCAAACAAACACATGGAAAGAGAGAGAGACACAAGCCAAGAAATAGATTCTTAACTCCAGAGAACACACTGATGGTCACCAGAGGGGAGGTCAGTGATGGGGAGTCAGGAGGGCACTTATCATAATGCAAAAAAAAAAAAAAGAGAGAGAGAGAAAATAAATAAAACATCTTTGAAAAGAATGGGGAAAAAAAAGAAGTAAAAGGCACCCAAATTGGAAAGGAAGAAGAAAAATTGTCTCTGCTTGCAGATGATATGATCCTTTATACAGAACATCCTGAAGAGTCCACCAAAAAACTTTTAGAACTAATAAACAAATTCAATAAAGTTGCAGGATTCAAAATCACACACAAAAATCACTTGTGTTTCTATGCACTAACAATATACTAGCTGAACAAGAGTTTAAGAAAATAGTCCCATTTATAAGTGCCTCAAAAAATAAAATACCTAAGAATAAATTAACCAAGGAGTTAAAAGCTCAGTACACTGAAAATTACAAGACATCGATGAAATGAATCAAAGAAGACACAAATAAATAGTCTGTGCTTATGAATTGAAAGAATTAATATTGTTAAAATGTCCATACTACCCAAAGCCATCTTAGATTCAGTGCTATCCCTATCAAAACGGCAGTGACATTTTTCACAGAAATCGATAAAACAATCCTCAAATTCATATGGAACCAGAAAAGACTGAAGAGCCAAACAATCCTGTGGAAGAAGAACGAAGCTGGAGGCGTCACGCTTCCTTATCTCAAACTGTATTACAAAGTGATAAAAATCAAAACAGTATGGCACTGGCATTGAAAACTGACACATAGACCAATAGAACAGAATAGAAGTAAAACTCATGCCTGTATACCCAACCAATTTTTTAAAAAGATTTTATTCACTTCAGAGAGAGAAGGAGAGAGAGCACACACGCGAGCAGAGAGGGACAGAGGGAGAGGAAGAAAGAAGCTGAAGCAGATGCTGCGCTGAGCACAGAGCCCATTGTGGGACTCGATCTCACAACCACAAGATCATGCCCTGAGCTGAAACCAAGAGTCAGACACCCAACTGACTGAGCCACCCAGGCGCCCCAAGCCAACCAATTTTTGACAAAGACACCAAGAAGATAGTCTCTTCAGTAAACAGAATTGGGAAAACGATATTCGCATGCAAACTGAATAATGAAGTTGGACCCCTATCTCACACCACTGACAAAAATTAACTCAAAACGGATTAAAGATGTAAATGTAAGACCTGAAACAATAAAATTCCTAGAAGGAATTGGCATTGGTCTCGGCAATGATTTTTTGGAATTGGCACCAAAAGCAAAGGCAACACAAGGAAAGAATAAGCAAGTGGGACTGCACAAACTTGAAAAGCTTCTGCACAGCAAAGGAAACAACCGAATAAAAAGGCAGTCTATGGAGCAGAGCAAACATTTGCAGACCATATAGGTGACAAGGGGCTAGTATCCCAAATATAGATAGAACTCCTACGACTCGGCAGCAACAAAACAACCGAACAAAACAACCCAGATGGGTGGTTACCAGGGGTTAGGACAGAAGGCAAACGGGGTAGCACTAGGGAGTTGTTCTAGGGTTTTAGGATTGTTCTGTTATCTCATGCATTATGGTGATTACAAAATACATTCAGGCAGTAAAAAACTCCTAGAACTGTATACTGCCCAAAAATGAATTTTCTGGTATATAAAAATTTTATAAATGATTCAAAGAACTGTATCAAATATTCACCCTGTTATCTTCATATGGTGAAACCATGGCTAAATTCTTTTGCTTTTATTGTTCTGTATTTTTCGGAATCTATTAAGAAAATGTATTACTTTTATAATGGAAAAACAAATGTGCTTTACAAATAAGTGGCAAAGTTATCTAATACACTGGTTTGACTAAAACCAGTATATCACTGTCATTTAATAATATCCAACACGTGATAATAAGCGGAACTTCTGGGTAAGATTTCAAAGGATATCAGATCATGATTCACCTTGCTTTCTGGATATAAAAAGATATTTTTATGCAGTTAAAGATCAGAAGGAAAAAAAGGATGATATACCCTTGGTGAATAGTTATTATTTCTGATTCAACAATCAGATTTTTCACATAGAGATCCTACCATCAATGAAACATTCCATAAATGAACCTTTCTTACTGGATTTATTTGTCATTTTCAAATGTAGGCGTCAACCTACCATCCGGTAAACGTTCTATCTTTGGCTATTTTGTGGATTTACAGCAATGCGAATTCATACCATGGTCAGAATTACTTCCTAGTATTCAGACACTAATTCAAAAAGGTAAGAAGAATTACAAGAATCATACTCTAACTTTTCTAAAATGTTGAGAGTACTTTATATATAAAAGTAGTTATATCAGCAACTTTGAAGATTGATCTGTTCCAAGTTTGTGCAGAACCAGTTTAAATCTATGTTTACAAAGCATGCCTTTAAGAAAATAACCACTGAGTATTGCTTTCTGAGAAATTGGAATCTATTTGATTGAGTCATTTGTGCATTGTAAAACTATAGCTCACTGAAAGTTTTACTAGTGGAAATATTTAGTATTTTAATTAGCTGTGGTTATTGAAAGCGGAAAAGGGAGAGGACCTCTTTTAAAATAGGAAAAGCATATATGTAAGAACTACACTTGGTTATAAAAGAAACAGCTAATTGGAAAAGAAGAATCATACCTTCACAAATATCCATAAATGCCTTATTGTTCTTATTCTCAATCTTCTGCATACTTATAGAAAACAAAGATACAGAAAATTGCTGTACCACAAGAGCTTGGTTGAAGCTTGAGGCAGGAACTTAATGATCAAGCTTCATTTAGAGTTCTTGCAAATCTAAGAAATTCAATAAATGCAAATTAACTTGAATTTCTTTGAGGTCAGGTTTCTCTCCTCAGTGAATTTCAAAGTTTGGTTATAAGACTTTCTGGCAGAAAACCAGAGGTATCATAATTACAAAGCATCCAGAAAGTTCTAATTTTGAATTAACTTATATCAGCATTCTCTTGTATAATATTTGTCACAGTAAGTATTAGTGGGTGATTATATTTATTTAAAACCTCTGAGTTGTGTATCATACGTTAGTGCTATATTGGTTATTTTAATCCTTAGCTTTTACTACTACGTACAAAAACACAACTGAATACCAATGCATGTAACTCAGTATCTTAGTTTACCATTCCTGTGGGAAACCATAGGTATTTCCTCCAAATCTGAGATACCACTTCCTCTGGTCCCACCTTATCCTAAGTGTAGGCAACAAGCTTAGAAGAAACTAAAACCCTCCCAAGCTTTCAAAGCCAACCTATAACAGGAATCTAAATGTCAGAACATCACAATATCATCCTCGATTGAGCCTGTGCAAAAGTAAATCAGAGGTCCTGGTACCAGACCGGTCTCTGGCACCAGAAACAAAAACATAACAAAACTCCACATTTTGTTCATGTAAGAATCCAGGAAGATTCTCAGAAATACCATTAGTGATACACAGTGCTTTGGAATGAAAACACTGGAAGGCAACTTGTCAGTATATATCAAAATTATAAATCATATGCCAGTTTATACTAACCCAGCAACTCTGCATGAGAGAAGCTGTGTGCAGAATGACACGGGTATATTCTATAAACTCAGCAAAAGACTGGAAAGACCATAAATCTCCATTGCTGGAGCACTGGCAAGAAATCTATGATAACATTCATCTCTAAAATGTACTCAATTTTTAGAAGTTCCTGACCAGCATACACAGTACAGGACCTAGTTTCTAGGATACAGGAATGAGAAAGAGACTGTTGATCGCATACCTTTGCATACTTTAGAATTGTGCACCATGTGAGTGTGTCTAGCATTAGAAAAGAGACTACAAGATGAGCAAGTGAGGTCTCTTTTGTGGGGAGCCCTTCTGAAAGGTTTGGCTGTATAATGGTGGAAAGATTGGGGGTGGTGTTTGTAAGAAGCTGTGGGATCAAGAGAGATTTGGGTTAGTTTTGGGGTGTGTGTGTGTGTGTTCGTGTGTTTGATTTCATATAAAATTGCCCATATTCAACTGGTTTTTACTAAATAAATGTCAGTTCCCGTCCTTCAACCAATAAAAAGATGGAGATAATGGTACATAAATGTTTGTACATTGGAAAGTCAGCAGAAACAAGAGACAGATAATGAGGGGAGAAGGCTTACCCAGGAAGGGAAGTTCTTCTAAAGGGCTGCAGGAGGCTTCAGCAGGAGAGCTGCTTTCTTCCTTTCGCTGGAGGGAAGGAGGAGAAGGGGCATTGTGTGTGGGCGGTAGGAGAGTCCGAGGAATGGGGGGTTAGTTCACCAGCTGAGTGTGGGTGGAAGGAACAGCTGCTGAGATCAGCAGGAACCCCCCGGCACTGGCGTCAGCTCTGTAGAGAGCTGTACAATGTACAGACTTTTCCGGAAAGTATTTAGTACCTCAAAGATTAACGTTTATCTATAGGTCATTTGAGACTTTTTAACTTTACCTTAGGAACGTCAATACTAGTGGACCCTGAAGGATCGAGTGAAAACCTCTTGAAGATCACAGAATATGGAGAGAACATCAGTCATATTGCCACCAGAGACACGGTGTCCCTTTCCTTCCTCATAAGCCTTCTTTTAAAGAATTTCTGCCCTGTACTTCTCACAGGTATTAAGAAGATTTAAAGAAGGAGAATTTATAGAGTTAGGAACAGGCTTAATAATTATTTAGCCTAAACATTTTACTTTATAACTGGGGGAAAAAAATATTCCCTGAAAAGCTTTAGACACTGTATCAGTATATATTCTTATCCGCCCATTTCCCCACGTTGGCTGGTAGAGGACATTATAAATCTTCATCCTTCTGTTCCTTCTGAGACAAATTCCAGAAGTAGAACTATAGGATCAATGCATGCACGGCCTCCACAGCCTGTGGGCTGATGGCCTTAGAGGGTCCCTGATGGTCTGATTAAATGTACTCACATAACTACATACAAGGAACAAACAAAAAGAACCTGCCTGGTTTAAAAAAAAAAAAAAGAAATTACACACGCAATTCCTCACCCCATTGCTCAAAGGTTTCCGTCTTTGAACATTACCCCATGAGTGATTCAATACAGCCCCACCTTCCTCGCCTTTCCCAGCTGCCTACGCTGTGTTGCCCATCACCGGGGGCCACGGTAGTGCTCCCGAGGTCCGTACAGAACATACTGAGGCAAAATGAGGCTGGAACTCTCAGACAATCCCTACCTTGCCTCCAGCTTGGCCTAAGAAAATTCTTACTCTTAATATCTGGTGAATTGTAAAGTCGTGACCCTGCAGTAGTTTGTCATCACATCTCTCCCCCAGATCGTGCCGGCAAAAATTCTCAGGGAAATGAATTTCATTAGCTCTAAGCAAAAACATTTGCAATAGGTGTAAATGAGCGTTCAGTTAAAAATAATGGTTAACTCTGAATCTGTCCTTTTATAAGAGATGTAAATAATTTGAGAGGATTTTGTATTTACTCCCTGATTTACCCAGTCTTAACCATGGGGCACTGGGTGTTATACGCAAATTATATGCAACACTTTTTTGGTGTTTTAGGTGCATTTTTCCAGGAAGGAAAATAGTTTATAACTGCACTTTGTTATGTAAGAAAAAGGAGATTTTAAATTTAGTTGTATTTAAAATAAATGTAAACATTCCTCATTTAAAGGAATTAATCTAGGTGTTAATACTTTGGAAAAGTACAGATTTTCTTCTTCACTTCTCTTTGGAAGAATTTTGCATTTTTACATAACAGGTTTGCTTTTTAAAACACTACATCAAAATCACGGATCTGTACTTCTGAAACAAATAATGCAATATATGTTAAGAAAAAAAGAAGAAGAAGAAGATAGCAGGAGGGGAAGAATGAAGGGGAGTAAGTCGGAGGGGGAGACGAACCATTAGAGACGATGGACTCTGAAAAACAAACTGAGGGTTCTAGAGGGGAGGGGGGTGGGGGGATGGGTTAGCCTGGTGATGGGTATTAAAGAGGGCACGTTCTGCGTGGAGCACTGGGTGTTATGCACAGACAATGAATCATGGAACACTGCATCAAAAACTAATGATGTAATGTATGGTGGTTAACATAACAATAAAAAATTATTAAAAAAAAACACTACATCAAAAACTAATGGTGTACGGTGATTAACATAACAATAAAAAATTTAAAAAAAATAAAGGGAGAAAAGAATCCATATTTTTCGGGCAGTTTTCAAATAAAATGTTACTGGTTCATCTGAATATGTTAGCATCTATTCATTTCCTTGGCTATAAATCTAACCTAATGTCTTTTTTTTACCTCAGGAGACCCTGCTGTTGGGAAAACCAGTGCCATTAATGAAATGCTTCAGAAGTTGGAGGGCCCTGGAGCACTGGAAGTGAAATATGGCTCCATCTTAGGAGAAGTCCTACTATACAATGAAATTAAAAAATCAAGGTTGTATATTTAAATGCTAAATTTGATTTGTCTGGTAAAAAAAATGTTTGCTTTAATATATAAATGTGCCTTGTTTTAAAAAGCAAACCTGTTATGTAAAAATGCAAAATTCTTCCAAAGAGAAGTGAAGAAGAAAATCTGTACTTTTCCAAAGTATTAACACCTAGATTAATTCCTTTAAATGAGGAATGTTTACATTTATTTTAAATACAACTAAATTTAAAATCTCCTTTTTCTTACATAACAAAGTGCAGTTATAAACTATTTTCCTTCCTGGAAAAATGCACCTAAAACACACCAAAAAAGTGTCGCATATAATTGGTTTTCTTGCACTAGAATTTTCATCTTATCAAATATAAGATATTCTTTAAACGTGGGACTCTTGATCTCAGCTCAGGTCTGATCTCAGGGTCCTGGGTTCCCAGCCCATTGGGCTCCGCCCACACTGGGTGTGGAGCCTACTTGAAGAAAAAAGTTCTTTACAAAGAACTTTGTTTCTGTGTCTCTTCCTGAAAGGGGGGGGAGGGGGAAGCAATGAAAAAGAGTTCTAAATTGTGCAAATAAAAAGTGCAAATTTTTAAAGTTAATTCTTTTTTTAAAATTTTTTATTGTTATGTTAATCACCATACATTACATCATTAGTTTTTGATGTAGTGTTCCATGATTCATTGTTTGTGCATAACACCCA